CTAGGGACGATACAATGGTAACGGTCTTCTCCATGAGGAGGTCTTGAGTTCTTCCCTAAAAGGGGTCTTGAATCCGCTTCGGGGATCTTCTCCGGTGGAGGCTCGAATCTCCGTGGAGAAGGTAACCAAGTGGATGAGCAAAGCTCTCACACAAACATGAGCTAAAACTTTGCTAACCCTAGAAAGTTGGGCGAGGTGGAGTATATATAGTCTAGGGGGAGAAGGGATACACGAGCCTCGACCCTTCACTGTGCGCAGACAGGGGAGGCCGGATGTCCGGGCTGGTCGGGCCGGATGTCCGGGCTTTCAGGCGACGCCGGATGTCCGGGCTGGGGAGGCCGGATGTCCGGGCTGGAGTGGTGGCATTTGTTGCTCTCGGGTTCGGAGGGGCCGGATTTCTGGGCTGGCAGCCGGATGTCCGGGGGCTCGAGAGAGGCCGGATGTCCGGGCTGGAGTGGTGGCATTTGTTGCTCTCGGGTTCGGAGGGGCCAGATTTCCGGGCTGGCAGCCGGATGTCCGGGGGCTCGAGAGAGGCCGGATGTCCGGGCTATCGAGGCCGGATGTCCGGGCTGTCGAGGTCGGATGTCCGGGGCCTGTAGCTTCTGGCGGTTGTGCTGCTGTAGTGGATGACGCTCCAGGGGCCGGATGTCCGGGTCCTAGGAGATGCTCTTGGATCCTTCCGTTGGTTCTCCTCATCCTAGGAGATGCTCTTGTACATCTTCATGCGCATCTTCGGGAGGGTCCTCTTGGTGCCGAATCATGCACAACACCTCAGACTTAGGTAGTAGCCATGTCTCATGCATAGAAAGAGGAAGTTCGGAGAGGAGTGAGTTCACCTTATCTTCGATAGCCTTGGCTCGGGCTCATGTCATTGTTCCAAGTGGTGTCGTTGGAGGTGTAGGTGCGTCCATGGGGATGATCTTGGGATGCTCCGCATCATGAAGGTATTCTTCCTTTATCTACATCATTTGCTCTGTTGCATATAGCCAAGATACATGTAACTCATTGCTTGCTCTAACATGCTCATCCATTCACATGCTCTTATATTCTATCTTTACATGATTGCTTTCCAAAGCTTTACTTGTTACTCTTCATATCTTTCCAAAGCTTTACTTGTTACTCTTCATATACATGTAACTCATTGCTTGGCCTATGCATGTTACATGTCTTTCCAAAGCTTTACTTGTTACTCTTCATATCTTTATCTAAAGCTTTGATGTATGTTGTCATCAATTATCAAAAAGGGGGAGACTGAAAGCACAAGTTCTCCCTGGGTGATTTTGGTAATTAATGTCAACATATCTCTTGTTGGACTAATGTTTTTATCTAGTGTATTTCAGATCAGTTCAACAATGGCATGGAAAGGACAAGAGGATGTGGAACCCCTTTCAAAATGCTAAGGACAAAGATTGGCAAAAGCTCAAGACTCTTCATTTCTATTTTAGTGATCCAAGATCATATTGAGTCCATAGGAAAGCCAATACTATTAAAAGGGGATGAGGTGTTGCTTAATGGTCTACTTGCTTAAAGTGCTTAGTGATATTGCTCCAAAACCCTCAGCCACTTTCTCATTTCCACATATATCCAAAACCCAAAGTCAACCTCAGCCCTACCAATTGGATCTATCCGGCGCCACCGAGTTCATTTGACATAGCCACTTCAAGAAACCCTAGACAATTCGGTCTCACCGATACGAATCTCGGTCTCACCAATACGGATCTCGGTCTCACCGAGATGGCCTTGCAATCTCTCTATTACCTGTTGTAATCCGAAATGTGCAATCGGTCCCATCGAGTTTGTTTGACCAACTCTCTTTTTGCTCTTTGCTGAAATCGGTCTCACCGAGTTCAAGCAATCGGTCTCACCGAGATGAGGTTTTGCCCTAGCCCTAGCACATCGGTCCCCCCGAGTTGATCATGTCGGTCCCACTGAGATTCCTAACGTTCACATTTTGAACTAAATCGGTCTCACCGAGTTCTTCTATTTGGTCTTACCGAGTTGGGTCAAATGTGTGTAACGGTTGGATTTTGTGTGGAGGCTATATATACCCCTCCACTCCCATCTCCATTTGTGAGAGAGCCATCAGAATGTGCCTACACTTCCACTACTCATTTTCTGAGAGAGAACCACCTACTCATGTGTTGAGACCAAGACATTCCAATCCAACCACAAGAACCTTGATCTCTAGCCTTCCCCAAGTTGCTTTCCACTCAAATCATCTTTCCACCATAGCCAAATCTGTGAGAGAGAGTTGAGTGTTGGGGAGACTATCATTTGAAGCACAAGAGCAAGGAGTTCATCATTAATACACCATCTATTACCTTTTGGAGAGTGGTGTCTCCTAGATTGGTTAGGTGTCACTTGGGAGCCTCCGACAAGATTGTGGAGTTGAACCAAGGATTTTGCAAGGGCAAGTAGATCACCTACTTCGTGAAGATCTACCCGAGTGAGGCAAGTCCTTCGTGGGCGATGGCCATGGTGGGATAGACAAGGTTGCTTCTTCGTGGACCCTTCGTGGGTGGAGCCCTTCGCGGACTCGCGCAACCGTTACCCTTTATGGGTTGAAGTCTCCATCAACATGGATGTACGATAGCACCACCAATCGGAACCACACCAAAAATATCCGTGTCTTCATTGCGTTTGCACACTCCAATCCCATCCCTTTACTTTCTTGCAATTGGCATGCTTTACTCTTTCCGCTGCTCATACTCTTGCCATGCTTGCTTGAAATGTATTGTGAATGCTTGAACTTGTGCTAAAACTCCTCCTGAACTTGAAGAACTTAAAAACTGCTAATTTTGCTTGTTGAGGTTCTAATCACCCCCCCCCCTCCCCCTCTAGACACCTCTTCTCAATCCTTTCAAGTTGAAAACAAGAGCAAAAGTGTTTGAAAAATAGATAAATTGGAGACGTATCAGGGTTCTTTGTATGGGGCTAGATCCATTGTCTGGCTCAGGGTGTGTCATCGGATCCTGACTTATGGGCAGATCCGACGAGCGATTCTCGCACCTATTCTGGGTCTGATACGTTTGCATCGAAGCGAGTGCATCTTGTTGCTCCTCAGTCTGGTCTAACACCCAGCTTGAGAAGACTAGTTCTCCGCAAGAATCCGTGGTGTACTCCAGGTTGCCGAGTCTGGCGAGTTGGCCTGGAGCAAAGGTCTCAACATGGCCTAGGTGGTCGGTGAAGTCAGCAAAATGGGCGATGTTGCCGAAGACAAAGATCTGGCCCGACACGAAGGTCGTGTCGATGTCAATCTTCTCGCCGATCTTAATCCCCGTCGAATCGCTATGACTACGTAGTGGGACCTGCATGGGCCACCAATGTCGGGATCGAATCCGACAGATGTCGGGTAGAGGGCCCCGAGCTAGTAGTCTTGACATGATGGTAACAAAGAACGAGTTTTTACCCAGGTTTGGGCTCTCCTTAAAGATAAAACCCTACATCTTGTATCGATTTGGGAGGGAGTACAAAGTACATGTGATCTACCACGAGATTGTTGTTTATCGTCTACAAGCCCTGCCCCTCAGTTTATATAGGTACCGAGGGGTCTAGGGTTATAACCTAGTCGTCTACGTACATAGAGAACGTGTTATAGACGACTATATGTCAAGTTTTCGGGAGCCTTCCTTTTATACACCATGGGACACCTCGATGTGGCCCACCGGTGAATGGATATGGGGTCCACGGTTTGGCCGAGAGATGACGTGATGAGTGACCCCCAATTCGAGACACCGTTAGAGGGGTAAGAAGGTTTTGTGGCGTCGCTGACCGGCTTGAAATGGCAGGCGTCCCGGTAGGTGGAGCAGCGGCTTGAATGCGGGCGCACGGAGTTGGCTTTTGTTCGCCTCATGAGGTTGAGTGTCGGGCAGGTGGATTACAGATCAACCGACTTGAATGCAGTATGGAGAACAAGCGGACAAGATGGAAGAGGCGGCTTGAATGTGGGCCCTCAGAATTGGCTTCTCATTCGCCACGAGAGGTTTTTCTGCATGCGTCTGTGTTGTCGAATGCATCGTGACGTCGAATGCATTCGTGACGGACGTCTGCACTTCCCCAAACCGCCCTTTAATTTTGTTCCGATTTATGTGATTTCAAACGTCCGAATAATCTTGACCTCCGTTGGATGACAAAATTGTTCAGACTATCTGGTCCGGACATTTAGGGACAATTTGGTGATCCGTCTTTGAATTGCCCTTGCTGCAAGACTTTTATTTTGCTAGCTTTCTAGTGCCATGTTTCTCCTATCACAAGGCCATGCACTTTTATTTTGCTAGCTTTGTAGCTTTTATTTTGCTATAAATTATGTGCCTTATTAAAACTATATTAGTGAAAACATTTTTTCAATATGAATTTAACGGTATAACTTTTGTTACACATAACTCACATTTAGTTGGTTAAATATTGACCAAAGTAAAATTTTGACACGCCATAATCATTCAAAGGGAGTATGATAGGTGGAGGTGATCCCGCTAGTTGCGTTGTTCCTTTGAGCCTTTGAGCGTCCTGTAAATTTGTTTGCTGACTTCTATAAAAATTATTATGCCAACGGTGTACTCTACAAAAAATATTTACATGGAATTATATGCATAATGAGTGGATGGACATCACTTAATAACCTTTTTGTGTACACTTTCTCTTGTACGCCTAAAAGTCCAGTACAACAAATAAGGTAATAATTGGAGTGTTTTTGTCACGACCCGATCAAGAGGGGATTGAGAGGGGAAAGGAGATCAGGGGAAAGGAGGAGGAGCAGGGTAGGTGAGAGCGAGGGAGACGTGAGGAAGGGGAAAGTAGTTAATCTATTTGCTCATTGCCATCGTCTGTTCACTCACACGGTTACAAGTAGGCTACAGCTGGCGTAGCACACACGCACACCCCTGGCAGGTGGGTCCCAGCCCAGCCTCCCCGCTGACTTGGTCGTTGCAAGTTCAGGTTCTGCACTTGCACTCTTCAGTCCGCTGCAGGTCCATCTGCAGGCGTGACAGTTTAGACAACAATTATGGTTTATGCTGCGCACGAATTGAAGCCCGGGCAACATGATGAGCAGCTGGAGCTTTCTCGTTGATAATAATTTGTTCTGGGAAGTCCACACGAATTGACTTGAACTTATAGCGCTGTTTAACATGGAAGAAAAGACCATGTAAATACTGAGCATAACAGGTTATGAAGCTGGTAACATCACCACAAAGAACATTACTAAGCCATATTTTCCTCGACTACCTTTATTCAAAAACAGTCAAATTACTACTCATTCAGAAATGTGATGTTGATTTAGATTAGTCAAGTGAAAATAGCGTCTTTATATTCATTCAGAAATAGAATTTGTAATGTTTAATAAGGTGTTCATATGAAAAGAATCGTCAATGTTGCATGCTAGAGCCCCACAAAAAAAATGTTGCATGCTAGAGACCATGTCTATGAGACCCAGAACAGCATGTATTGGTGAAGAGGGAGTAAAATGGACAGTAGATTTGTCCCCTCCCCCACGTGAGATTCTGAAATAAACTCAGGTGATTGGGATTTCACAATTAGGAATGATCTTTGTAATCTAGTTGCTGCAGGAACAGGTTATCCGGAGCACGTCTCCTGTGCACTACACGCTGAAGCCCTGGCCATGTTGCACGCTATAAATGCTACTGCAAGAATGGGATGCAGTCAAATCATATTGGAGACCGACTAAAGCAGGTGGTTTCAACTCAAGATTGCAATTCAGCTGCGCTAGGTTCTCTGTTTCAGGAAATAAAGCTCTTGATGTTGTTAAATTAGGTACTTGCCCAAGATCATGTAATGTTGCTGCGCACAATTTAGCTGCGTATGGAGCTGGGTTAGGGAATGGCAACTTTGAAATCTCGGTTGGCCATTTTCCAGACTTTGTAACGAACTCCGTAGCCGGCGACTCTGCCGGCATGTATTAGTTTAATCGAATACTAGTTGTTCCTTTCAAAAAACATGAGTAATGAGAAGAAAAAAACTGGCAGAAGTTTAATAATAGGTTTATGAAGAGTTAACAGGAGGATGGTATCAAAGGTATACCTGTTCTTTCCAAGATATATCTAGGATTTTGTAGTATGGTTCCAGCAGTACCACTCGATCGCCTTCTTTAATCTATGGCATACAAGGATTACACTAGAATGGTTACATAAAATACAGTACCAGCAAGAGCAACTTGGGGAACTTCAATATCGACGGGCTTGGTAGCTATTTAAAATGTAATGAATTCTGGAACAACAAAAACTATTGGCACATGAAGGACATTGGATCATACTCCCTCGTCCGGAACTACTTGTCGCAGAAATGGATGTATCTAGACGTATTTTAGTTCTACATACATCCATTTTTATCCATTTCCGCGACAAGTAATTTGGGACGGAGGGAGTATGTTTTAAGATTGCTCTTAGTAATCCCAATGGCGTGGCACTATAACAGCATAGACACCAGTTTATGTTCCATACATCTGAATCCTGATGTTATTCAGTATACTGACGCTTTAAGCATGCAAGCACAGCTACACCCACTAGGATAAAATCATGACGCAGTATCTCAATTTCTCATATAAAAATTATTCAGAAGTGATATGAGAGATCTTACTGCTTCGTTCTGTAGCCCGTAAACTGATAGTATGAAATAAGACTGATCCAAGTCACATGTTAAATAATACCTGAAAGACCATAAAATTGTTGTCTCATTGGTGTAGCATATAACTTTACATATGAGATAAAAATCCATAACAATAAGGTATGTGTAAAGAGCGGCCGATGGGCTATGCCACCTGGATTTTTTACTGTGTCGAATAGGAATAGACAAAGGAGGTGAAAATGCATCGAACCATCGATCCTATTCCTGTCCTCGTCTCCTCATTCGCCTCTCTCGTTTTCTCCTCCCTCTAGGAGTGGCGGCTAGGGTTACCGCGACCACCGTTGCCGCCGCCGCCGGCCCATTCCCCATCCCGTGATTCCTCTCCTTCTCCCTCGTCTGCCGCTGCCACCCACCACTCACCAACCCCATTCCCAACAGCCACCGCCACCACCGGCGCCCCCACCCCTTCTCCCCTCCCCTCACGCTCTCCCCATCACAGGTGGCCTCCTCCTCGCACTAGATCGAGCAGCTGGTCCAGATCCGATGCAGGCTCAGATATGGTACACCCACAACGCTGCTTCAGCTTCGCCCCGTGTTGCATCTCCGCCTCCCAGCAGCACCACGATCTGGTCCTCCCCGTTCACGGCTATCGGCAGGAGGCGGAGCATGACGCTGCCAGCAGGAGAGGCGCCCTTCTGCGCGAGCGTGGCCACTTCTCCCCGGACGTCTACTTCGTCGAGGAGGTCATCACTGGATACGACGAGACCAACCTCTACATGACATGGCTCCAGGTACGTGGTCTACACAGACGCACAAATCCATACTTTTAGATTTCTCTGGTTTGCTTCAGATTTATTTATCTATATGTTGGATGCGTCGCACGCAAATGCAATGTGGAGTCCGCAGGAGAGGAACACACGGCTGGAGAACAGTACATGGGGGATCTGGAACCTCGCGTCACCCACGTCGACCAAGGCGGCCATCATGGTGAGTTCGACGGGAGCCGCGACACCGACGACATCCAGATCAAGCCCGGCTCCTCCTATATCTGGATCGACCGTTGCTCCCTCGATGACTACGACGACGAGCTATTGACATCATCAGCCAGAGGCGACGTCGTTGTTTTCCTTCTGGGACTCCAGAGTTCAGACGCCCATGGGCGTGGACTTGTGTGTGAGTGATCATGAGCTCTACTCTTCTTGAATTTTTATTTGGTGCATTGGAGAGAGTTTTAGACATGCCAGGCGTCATGCCTGTCAAACTGGGTGAAGCGCTATGCACAAATTAAGATGCTCATGTTCCAGTGATTTGCTAGAAGCAGCACTAGCCAATTTTACATAGGTTTTCACTGCATCAAGATGTGATGACTTGAACCAAAACGCGAACAAAGCCAAAATGTGATGATACATGTTTTGCTTCGAGACCAGTCTTGCTGCTTAACTTGAAAAATACCTATATTTTGTCACAAACTAGATGGATTGAGTGATTCTTTGTTGGTGAAATGATCTGCCCAGATAATTAGATAGTGATAGTTAAAATTGTGTTGTGTTACTATTTTTGTTTTATCATGGGAAGAAGCCAAGCTTAGCAGGCGGGCAGAGGCATATGGTGCAGTCAGTTAAACCCAAATCTAATTTTGCTACATCAGTCTCCTAATCCACGTTTTCTAGAGTCGCCTGGTCCGCATTAACGCAGCCCACGCAAAAATTTGGCTGCTAAGACAACGATGTTCATGTACACAGGTCAAAGTAAGCCACAAACAAACCAGCCCAAAATAAGCCAAGGCAAAAGACCGCCACATGGCAAGGTGTGTACAGCGTCTGGATTCTTGGGTGGTTTTTGACTGAATGTTAGATGGTGCTACGTGCAAGATGTTGGCCTCTGAACTGACACTGGGTTTGATTTTTCTGTCACGCTTTCTGCAGGATCTAGCACTGGTAATATCATGCAGGTGTTGGAAGTGTACCTGCCAATTTTGCTCGGATTGGTTGAAGAGGGTGAGTGATCGCTGCCATTTTTGGTTTTTTGCTGTTTTGGTTTTGATCCTCGGCAATTCTGTATATTTTCTCCTTTCATTTATCATGTAAAATGTGCAGGTAGTGAGTTCAGGCACAGTGTGCAGTTTGTATGGAGTATTCAAGAGGACAAGGTCGAGGTACTTGCTTGCCCATGTCAAGCTTTGACCAATATTTACTTCTGTCTTCAGCTCTAACATGGATCAAATTTTTGATTGCAGGAGGCGCTGTCTGAGCTGCATTTAATGGCCATGATCTGCTTGCTGCAGGCCAACTCCCTGCTTCTTCCAAGGGCTTACGGCGAGGGTATAGCCCATGGGTCTCTGAAGGCAGCCTTACTAACTTACTATAAACTGAACTGCACGTAAACTCATGGTCTGGCAAGTTTATGCATTTATGAATTGGAGAATGTTCATCACCTGATGTGTGCTTCATGCCGATAACTAATGTATCATTTCTTGATAATGTACATAGAGAGCAAACGTGCCACGGTAGACGTTTTCTTGAAACCATCTGGCTACTTGAATTGCACGATCAAGTGCTCCGACACACACCATCAGAATTAAGGTAATCTACTCTTAAGCAGCTCGCCAGATAAGTTGAAGATTTTTCTTTCCACATTTTAAAATATAATTATCTCGTAGCTCTGAATCATTGTTTATTTTATACAACTGAAAAGGATGACCTCTTTGTGAAGTTGGTTTTGGAGTATGTACCTGAGAATGTCCATTGTGCTGTCAAGCATTACAACAAGATGAACCCACTAATCTATGTGAAGCTGTACACACACCAGGTAATATTTCTATATGTTCTTGGATGATTTTCTTTTTTGCATGGAACACATTTTATCTCAACGAGTATTCTGCTTTGAGTAATCGGGTTCCAATTCCGTATTCATCGATGAAAAATGGTGTGCTTGATCTGAGGACTATTAGTTGTACACCTTTAAACAGCCAGTTCTCTTCATGCTAGATTTGCAGTTTACTTGATAAAATTAGGAAAGACCGGTTATTTATGACTTGGCACTAGCTGGTTATCCCATTTTATTTTGGCATTTTAGCAGTGCCATTTTCCTGTTAAAATCTAGGCAACCTTTTCTAAATAGCATATTATCATGGAAAGGTTTTAAGAGCAATCCAGAATAGAGGTCCAACCCTTAATCATGGTTATATTTCCTTCTATGATCTTCCAAGTTTCATGGCATTTTTTGTGTTGTGCCTGTTCCAAGTTTCATGGTATTACTATTTTTGACATATGCAAGAACACCTTCACCAACTGATGTAGCAAAAAAAAGTATGTGGATGATATGTACTTTCTGAAAATAATTCCTTCTGTTCTGTTTTTTCATTATACATTGATTGCTATTTATGCTTCTTTAGCAGTGACATTAGTCAATTTGCATTTTCTATCTTTTAGCTACACTGCCAAATCCAACGACTTTCATTTGTTCGTACCATTAGGCTGCAGGGAAATATTACTTTATGTAACATGCATGTTTTTTTTCTTAATCTGTTGTTGTTGCTACTCATTTCTGAAATTTTCTTGATGCAACTTCATTCGGATTTATGTGAATAAAAGCGTAAGGGGTTCAGTGGCAATGCTACAAAATAATTCCAGACGTGAGTATCTGGATCGCACTGCTGTTGGTCGTCTCATGTGCTTCGTACATCGGGCTTCTGACAGATCCAAGTCATGGCCTCATGGGGTCCCTTTCTTCAGCCAACTGAAACACTTCTTGTTAGCTTGTCTTTGCTTTTGGATTAATTGTAATGCATCATCTCACCCATTTATGATCCATGGGTGAGTCCTACATATGCCTATGATGGTTCTAACTCAAATAATATAGTTAGTTCTAAACTCAAATAATATAGTAGTATTTGTATGTTTGATCGATGCGCTAATAATAAATCCTAATGTTATAGCATACACACATATTAATGTACATAAGTGAGACTAGGACACATGACAGGAGATTGTGCCGACACAAGATAAGTGCGCACAAGCCTGCCTCAGGTGACGCCCCATCCTCTAGTAGGAACAAAAGAGATGCAACAATCTTGTACAGACTTTGTGAAGGAACAAAGTTGTATAGATTCACATACCTAACTCTATTGTGCTTCGACATCATAAAAAGGGTGCTGAATCTTATCGACAAATATTAAAGGGCACACAGCTGTGCAATGGATTTTTTTTCTATCTTTCTAGTTGAACAAAGATAATAGCTTCTTTAATCTATTCAGAAATACTATTTGGCTCTGACCATACTATATTATTTCCTCTAATTTGCAATTGGTTGCATAATAACTATTCTGGAATATTTCTGTACCACATTTGCTACCTTGAGCATACTATCTATTTGTGAATCTGTGTACTGCGCTTCAAAATTATGTAGTTGTATACGGATTTTGGCATAGCGATCTGAGACCTTGTTTTTTGGTCTTGTGCTTCAGCCTTTGGAACTTCTTGGCCCCTAAAAGCACACGCCCAAAGACACACACATTGCTTTTTGATGAGCATGTGAGAAGGACTTCTAAAAATTGCACTAGAAGCAAAAAAATAAACACTGATCTTGGTGCTTCCTAGTTGCCTCAATCCCTCCCTCTTCGTGCGCGCGGCCACAGGCCGAAGCTTCATCACATCATGTCCGATTATGACTCCGCAAATAGGATAGATGATGAGCAATATCCGCCCATATCCGTCTATCTAGGTTTGTGGAACTATTTGTATAATTTCATATAGGATACTGAAGTGGAGCTAACTTGCTCAGCAATCCCTTGTGCCCGCCCCTTCGAAGACTCATCCAACCGGCTCCTGTACTCATGCCTTAGGTCATGTTGTACTTCTACATATTTGTCATGAGAACTTACTTTCAGAAGGTGCCCTCTTATTTCCTATGGATTATTTTGTTTGTTGTGTAACTTAAACTTGGATGTGTTATTTTCTTTTAGCTTGGAACAATTACTTCGTCTTGTAACATTCAACATAGAAAATCTCAGCATGTGATTGATGTTTGAATTCTTGTTGTTTTATATGCGCAGTTGTCTATCTATACTTATCATGTTTTATT